CAACAGACTACTTTACATGCATGCGCCTACCTACTGACAGCCAATCAGAAGTATGGGTGAGCGTTAACAGACGAATTTTATTGAAAAACGGTTCTTATTCAAGCTTAGAGGCGCAATACGAGAGTGAGCCAAGGATCAAAAAGACACTGTGGGCTTTCTGTATAGGCAAGATGAGCAGAACTCTGTTTTCTGATTGTCTACCAATGGAGACATAGGAGGTTTTCGTCAAACAGCTTATAGCGTTAGGTAAAAACGGCCGCGATGGAATCTCGATAATCGGTTACTGGATCGCGTTATGACAATAAACGGTTCGTGGCCTTGGTCTTTTTATTCGTTTTTTTGATGAGGTGTTTCAGTACTATTGTAAAAATTCAAAATAACGAAGGAGTTAATTATGCCACCGAGTCCGCGTTTATTCTTGAGGAGTTTATTCGTGCTAACAGTTTGAGTGCTCGTAATGCTATGATCTACAAAAGTTTAGTCGATTCGCGGCTTTGCAACATCAGTAGGAGTAAATAATTTTCCAAAGACTGCAGAATACACGCTATAGTTGATTCCAAATCTTGCAATCTAGTTTCAATGTCTATCGCCAAGATACTCTGCCTATTTACCGTCCGAAAAAGAATGCAAAAAGTGAAAAAAAAACCTGGCCACCTACGTGAAAGAACGCGTTCTCCAAGGGACTTAAACTTCTTGTTCCTCCAGTGAGCACCTGTAGGTTTGCCTAACTACCGCTTTCCAATTTTTAGTTTTTTTTCGACATACAAATGGGTGTGGTCCTTTGAGTAGCATAATGATAGCGGTTCGTGCAAAAGCTTTTTCACCGCTTACTCCCGTTTTGCAGCCCTGCAGTAATTAATGTTTGCACTCTCTGCTGCCTTCAATCAACCTTTCCTAGCTACTAAATTCAGTAGCCATGTTATAACTATCTACATTTTAGACGATAATTCTCGTCAGGAGGACCAGCAGCAATCTGAGCCAACCTCGCCATCCCCACCCTCATTCTACGACCGCCGAGAAGACTGGGCCAACGTACCGAGAGCCTTGGGGCGTAAGTCGTGCTTTCTNNNAGAAATTCTCAACTCTTTTCTACTTGGTGGCGCACCCCATGGTTGTTGACATAGTTTTCTTTTTTCTTTTGACGGGGC